TTATTTTCTGTGTATATTGTATCTGTTCATAATGTGTACACCACAGCACTGAAGGAGCACAGTGTGGTTCCTCTGTATTGTTTGTATTGCATACAGAAACAGCTGTATCCTGCACAGCTGTTGTATTTAAATTCTTCAAGATGAATTTCAAACTTGCTCCGTCTGTGTTTAAATGTGCCAATTAAAATATCAAATTGTCTTGCAGACATGGGAAACCTAAATGACCAACATCTCATGGGAACTTACATGCCTGAAAATATACACAGAATCTAGAAAACAATGCAACAGAGCACAACAAACAAGAAACGTCACTGTGTTGGAGAGACCTTCAATACAACATAAAGTGATACTTGATTGGCTTATAGTAAACCCTGGTGCATCTGGGCGGTATGACAGGTGGCGAGGGTACCTGAGGCCTTTGCTTGTGCTGTGTCTGGCTCTGTGTCTGGCCCTGCGTCTGCTCCCAGCTGCCCCGGGCTCGGTTCCCGCCCATGGACGTCATCATTTACAGTATATACAAATAACAGTATTTACAAAGGAATAAGACCTGAGGAGAGAAGGATGAGAGAGGTGTTACAGATTTGTGACTATGACCTACTTATGCCATGCACATAGCTGGTACACTTGAATACTACTTCCTCAAACTGCCTGGTAGCTTATTGCCCAGTGGTGGGTGGGTGGGGGCTAGTATCAAGAAGAGACCATCACCTTTGTTCCCAGAAACGCCTGGAAAACGTTAACAAAGGGTGTTTTTCACCCCCTTTCTTGGGAAATCTCTAAAACCAAAGCTAGCCGCGGGTTTGACCCGGGAAGCAAGGGTGCCACGGTGCACTGGGCGCTGCTTGCACTCAAAAGCGTCCAAGTACATAACGTTAGATAACTTATTTATCTCTTTAGGACATTATACAACGCTCTCCATACCAAAATAGCCACGGAGGGGTTTTAGTTAACCTATACGGTGAAACGACAGATAGCCTCACGCTGTATTGGACATCAGGTGAAATGACAAGATAGATGACAAGATACAAACACACTTTAAAAAAAAAAAAAACAAAGGGGAAAAAAGGGGGGCAAAATGCAGCAAAACAAGAATCTGAAAGAAAGGGAACGAAAAAAGAGACACATTCCTGTGACTAATTCGTGTCTGGCAAACAATGTTGAAACACAATACAGAAGAAAACCCAAGAAAATGGGAGGAGGGTTTCTGGTGAAGTCTGTTAGTGATACGTTCATGTGAAGTAATCTTAATAAACTTACCACTCCCCATGATTCCTGCGATTCTGTTTGGGGTGTTTTATCTGGAGGAAACCAAACACACATTAAGTACAGCTTTGAACCTGCTGATAACAAAAGACTCCCTCTGGGGGGGGGACTACCCCTATTCCTTTCTTTCTTTCTTAACATAAACAGACATTTCTGAGTATCCTACACAGCAGCAACAAGAACTGATGACAGACTGAACGAGAGGCAATGCCACACATGATTTAAGAGCTGAGACCGTTCAATGGAGAACATCTGATATTGGCCAACACTTCTCACTAAAGGGAAATTCCTTTAAAAAGTTGATTTGAAGAGCAAACTGAGTTAATGCAGGACCCGACAGTAGCACAACTGCATGAGAACATCACATCCATTTATCATTACAAAAAAAAAAAAGACTATTAGACAGCATGAATGGATAAGACTATCGTTTCAACACCTAGGCGTTAAAGGGCGTTGTTGTGCTGAGAATATGAGACATCTTTGACCAAAGTGACAGTGACCAATGGCGGCTGCTGGCCACTGTTACACTTGGAGGTGTTACGGGAATCCTGCTCGCAGCTCCCCGAAATAGATCATCAGCAGCGGAAACATCCCAAACAAAGCGCCTCCGCCCCGTTACACGAACCACAAGAGAGAGAGAGAGGGAGAGAGGGAGAGATAGAGAGGGAGAGAGGAAAGCTACAACAATGTTAAGCTCTCACTGCGGCTGTTAAAGGTTTCCTCTGGTCCGTATGAGCCGCGTTTGTGTGTCGGCCAGCGGCGTCATGTGTATTGACAAGCGGGGATGAATTATAGGATCAGTGCGCCTTCAGCGTCGGATGCGATTTAACGAGGCACACATGATTCAAACGACTGCCCGGATACCCCGACAGAGAGGTGGATACGAGCACTTCAGCTTCATGTCACAGGCTTTTACTTCTATATGTTAGTGGGGTAATAAACTTTAACAAACTCACCTCTTTTCGTCCCCAAAATGCGCATAAACGATCCCTCGTCGTCTCTGCTGCCCCTGACCTGAGTGTTGCTATGCACGGTGCGCAGGCGCACAGCTCTGTTTGCTACAGCGGTCCCACGAACTGCCCCCTTTCCCCAGAGTTAAAGAGGCAGAGCAACACGCACTGCCCCCAATCAGTGCAACTAACGTAATGACGTTGTGTTGTACAAATCCCTTTAAATGACACATCCACTCACGTAATCCTTCAGACCGACCGAGTGGCCTTTGTATGATATTTTATAATGTCGACTTGAATGTTTTATGTTTTATCTATTTTATTTTATGTTTTGTATATCCTATCTTTGCACATGTTGTATTTTGTGAAACACCTTGTTATTCTGGTTTTGAGAGGTGCTACAGGAAAAAAGTTTATTATTATTATTATTATTATTATTATTATTATTATCATATAATAATATCATTTCTGGCCCTCCACTCCATGACATGATGCCAAAAATAATATAATATAAAAAGTTGTTTCCTATCATTTTAAATTATCCTTTTATACTTGAGATGATGTATAATTAGCATATAAAAATGTATAGAAACTGTTGTTAGCATTTTTTGATGATGTTAGTAACCGAAATCTTTTATCAATGTTGCCCTTTCTTGTAGTACTTGAAGGTTGAAGTGGCCCTCCTATGAGATGACAATACCAGCAGTGGCTCCAAGCCAATCTGAGTTAAAGACCCCTGCCCTGGTGCCTTAACATTAAGTGGAATAATTAAATACAACATGGCTCCAAGGGTACAATTTGAATAAGAAAAGTGTTTTTGTGACAGCCAGAAGCTACTTTTTATTGTCGGCTATTCATCTAAACTGTGCAAGTAATATCAGTAGTTAATATATCAACGTATCTCATAAACTTGAAATAAAAATTGATGACAGTGTAAATATTTTTTTTACATATTTCAGCAGATTTCAGTCCCTTCTTCTGGATCTGACTGATGTGCTTTCTGTTCTTCTCAAAGAACAAAAAGGCTTTTATAAGTGTTCTGTGAATAAATATCAGTGTTAGCCATGTGGTGCAGCAATAGTAATCAATCAAAGTGGCATTAAAGGTCCAGCATGTAACATTTAAGATGATCTATTGGCAGGATTGAAATATCATATTCATAGGTATGTTTTAATTATTGAATAATCACCTGAAAATAAGAATTGTTGTGTTCTTGTTTCCTTAGAATGAGCTGTCAGGGAGTGGGTCCTCTTTTATGTTTCTACAGCCCAGAGTGGACAACCCAAACACTGGCTATAGATAGGGCTTTTCACATTTTTACAGCCTGTTCTTATTTCCAGGCTGTTGGTTGCAATCTGCTGCTTCACTGCTAGGTGCCACTAAATCCTACTCACAGGTCCTTTGGTAACAAATTGCATAATTTAAAACCTACTTTATTTTTAAATCCAGTTAGTTGGAATAAAAGAAAACAAATTCCATTCCAATAAACTGTAATTAGTTTTTAATTATTACTATATTTGTATTTGCTTCACATTTCTTCACACCTGCCAATAGAATAAATGCACAAAAATTTGGATATGATTGTAATTGTCAAAATTATGAACAGTATGCAGAAGATTACAGACTGGATCTTGACAGATTTTATTCTTTTTTTATATGATATGATATGATATGATATGATATGATATGATATACTGTACAGATCTGGATACATTTCTATAAACCTGTAAACCATTGGCTCTTTCCGGATACCTTTTTGTCCATTGTTTGCTCACATCAGCCAATCAGCTGTGGTGCTCTGCCAGACAGTTATTGACGGCAGAAGAAGAGGAAATGATCCATTTCTTTCCGCACTTTTTAACTTTTGTTTAATGTTCCATCTGTCAGTCAGTTTGAAAATGTAATCTGAGCAGTGAAATATGCAGAAACTCAGAAACTCCACAGCAGTAATGTTTTATTTAATGTTTTTTATATTTTTATTTATTAATGCTGATGAGTTTTGTTGTTAGACCAGAACTCTGTGTGTGTGTGTGTGTGTGTGTGTGTTTGAGTGTTTGTACCCAATGTGTCTCTACTGATTACAATCTGTAATCATCAGTAATGATGTTTAAAAAGACTTTGCCGCCAGGAACAATTGACCTACACTCCTGTAACTCAAAGACACACGCACACGCACACACACACACACACAACACATGAAGAGAGAGATAATAACAGCTTTATATTAACATGAGACAGTGGTGCTCTCCCCACCTCC